TCATCTCTGGGTGGCCCAGTTGGAAGAGTCACTTTTTTCTCTGCTGCAGAGCCTCATTGAGGTCAGGCCTCGTCAGACTCCTGGGAATGGGCCACTGTCCACACGCTGGGGCCCCAGAGGGTCCTCCTGCCTGGGCCACTGCTCCCTCCGCACCCAGGGCTCTCATCCACCCTAGGACACCATCTTTGTCCCTTGGCCTTGCTCTTTTCTTTCCAGGGTTAGACACTTTCTGTGGTCAAAATGTACCCAGTCACACACCATCTCAGCAGTTTCCATGTGTACAACTCGGCGACACCGGCTACATCCTTCACATTGTACGCACCTTCCCATCAGCCCTCTCTAACCTGCTCACGGCCCCTGGCTTACACTCGCTGCCCCCAAAGCGTCCCGTCTAACCTTTCACGTTCCAGTTGTCCATTTGATCTCAGTAGAGCGTTCTTTCAAAGAGCTCAAAGCCAACGCAGGTATTTTACTTATAAAGATACTTTTTTTGTCATTTAGAGATGTCTTCGGGGGACAATTCTGGTTGAAAGTTCAAAGACAATCTCAAAGCGATTGCTTTGGGAGCTTAGCTCCGGCCTCCATGGGTCCAGAGAATCTGGGTCCCACCAAAAATGTGAACTTCTGTTTCACATTCTACCCCCATTGGGTGAGGATTTAAGGATTCTTCTATAGACTCCGATCAAAACAATTAGTCCCGATAGCTGGCACCCTCCAGGGCTGCCTCATGGCCGGGGACCTTGGCCCTCCCCCTCCTGTCTTCATTCAGCCGCTGGGGTGGAGCATCTGCTGTGTGCCAACCACAGAGATACAAGTGGTTCCGGCTCAGGGTGACTCGGGGCACCCACCCATGGGTCCCGTGCAGAGATCAAGGAGCCAAGTAGGGGTCAGTGCCAGTGGAATATAATGGCCCCTGCCCTGGGGAAGCTCCAGGAGAGAGCAGGCTCCCAGAAGCCTCATGCCCTGTGAGCGTTTTGGGTGAGCAAGGCATCATGGGAAGAAGCCGGGGATACACAGTATGCTTTCTGCCCATCGTATCCATCAGGCGTCCATCCCCACATTAACGTCCAGCCATTCTGGAAGACGGCACCCCTGGGTGCCCCCTGCCGTTGGGCAGCATCCAGGGCAGGAGATAAAGGCCTCTGTTTCCAGGTGTTTCCTCCGGGGAGTCTCCCGGGTGAAGTCGCTGGCTCCCAGTGCTCTTGCTCCGCATGGGCAAACTCGTGCCGTGGCGCCCCCTGTGGGTTTCTGAGACTGAACTGTTGATGGCAGATGAAAGCCCAGTCTCAACACCCCAGGTGGGCATAGAAGTCCCTAAACAGACTGTGCATGTGTGACCCGGAGTTGTCCCTGGGGGCTGGGAGTTTTGGCTGACCCAGGTTTTCTTGGGAGATGGCCATCGGGTGCGTGTGTTGGGGAAAGGCCTTCCAGACCCAGTCACAGACCTTGAGCTGCTGTCCACGCTACGCTGGGGGTAGAGAAGGGACACCTGTGTCCTCTTCCCAGGTGGCTTAGACATCCTACCCCAAGGTGATGCCCCAGGGACCACTCCGGAAAGGCTCAGGATGCCAGAGTTTCCTTCTGGGCAACACGGACCCCACATGAAGCTGTGGCCTGAGAGGACCAAACCTGAGTCCTGCCCAGGCTCATGGCCGCAACAGTGGAGGAGCCGGCCTGCGCCGGGAGCTTCAAGGAGACGTGGTGCAGGAGAGTGGACAGTGGGGTGGTAGCGATGAGGGGACACACAGTCAGGACGGGAGAGGGAAGGTGGGCTTACAGGGCCTGCAAATCACTCGTGAGCATTGAGGGTCCATGAAAGGCCAGCATCTGTGGGTGCTAAGGCAGCGATGCCTCAGAAGGTTGGCCTGGAGAGTGGCCTCTGAGAGACCAGCCCTGGGAAACCCCATGGGAAGCCCCGTGGAGCACAGCTCAGCTTCCCCCCCACACTAGGTCGCCGTGTGCGTCCCAATCAACTGGAGGCCAGGAGAAGCCACTGACCACTCCATCTGAGCCCAGCGCTGTGAAAAGCTCAGGTTGGCCTGTCTGGTGTAGGATGTGCCACCCAGGCGGTGTAGGATGGCCTTGGAGGGGGGGGTGCTACCGGGGCAGTGTAGGTTGGGGGGAGGAGCATAGGGAAATGGGGAGCCACAGGTGCCCCAAGATCCCAGTGGCCGCCAGCTGTGGCCGGAGGGCTACAGAGAAGCAAGCTGAGGCCCATGGGTGCTCTCCGCCTTGAGGTGGCTGGGTGATACCCAGGCAGAACCCTTTTTCAACCAGCTGGCATCCTCCCCAGTACAGCTCAGCCAGGATCCGGCCAGCCGAGAGCGGCCTCTGGCTCAGGTCCGGGCTTGCTCAGCGCAAGCCCAGCATTTTTCCATATAAGCCCTCATAAGCTTACCTCTAACTCAGCTGGGACCGAGGCTGGCCACCAGAAAGCCACCCCATGCACTAGGAAGGGCTGCTCCAGGTGGAACCAGAACAGCAGGGGATGTGACCACACCTGGCAAGGGACATGCCTCAAGAGAGACATCAAAAGTGTAAAGGGATGTGTGTCCAGGGCTGTCTAGCGGGGCTCAGCTCAGGCTAGGGGGTTCTGTGGAGGTGAAGGAGGTGGAGTGCAGTCAGTGCAGGGAGAGTGGCTTTAGGCGGGAAACGCCTAAGGTCAGAGACGTCCCTACAGCCCCAGGAGCAGCACGGTCTCTGGAAGGAGGCCTGAGGTCCAGGTTGATGGAGCTGGTGCCGGGGAAGGGAAGCTGCTGACATCTCCAGCAGACCCAGGCAGGCGGACGAGGCTGGCATGATGTCACCTTGGAAGGGCCCGGGGTGCCCTGGCTCCCTCTGCAAGGTCTCCTGGGGTCTGGCTGGCAGAGGAGAACATCTGGTTTCTGGGGGGTGGGAGGGCCTAAGGGGGGCCTTGTAAAGGGAGCCCCATGACCAGTTTATAGTGAGTCCTTCATCCGAGGCAGTAACCTCCTCACCTGGCCACTGCCTTGAGTCCTCTGACCTCATGGGGCATCACAGTAGAACTGCCCCTGAGGACGTTCTTAGTTGTAATTCTATGCAAGCAGAAAAACGGGCCTTTCTCCCATGTGGCTTGCTGCTGGGCAGATTCAAACCTTACAAGAGTCTAAAAAAACAAAACAAAACAAACTCACTGCCATTGAGTCAATGGCAACTCACGGTGACTCTCTAGGAGGACAGGGTATAACTGCCCCTGTGAATTTCCGAGGCTGTAACTGTGAACTGGAGTAGAAAGCTTCATTGGACTTCCATAGAGCAGCTGGTGTTGAACTGCTAACCCTGTGGCTAGCAGCCCAACACATAACCCCCATGCCGCTGTGGGTCCATAGTCAAGCACAAGCACAGGAACCTAGACCCGTCACAGCAGCTCCCCATGGGACCTCAGCTGTGGGGGTGGGGGGGACAAGGGACCTCCTCTTAGGGGCTGGAAACTAAGGCCTGAGGCACCTTGTGTTCTTTAAGGCAAAACCAAGCCTAAGGTTGGGCTAAAGACTAAGTGACACCCACGGCATCAAGAAGGTGGGCACTGGGCAGGGAAACTTGATGGACTCCAGACTCTGACCCTCCAGCCAGACCTGGTGACCCTGTGCCCATGCTGCCCCCAACAGGTAAGGCAGGAGCCCCTGGCCAGCCCCAGGAGCTCCTTCTAAGCCACCCTGTAATCCCTCCCACTTCAATGGCGACGAGGACCCCGACCATACCCTGCCCCACCCACAAACGCCATCTCAGTGAGGGCAGAGGATATAAAAGCTCCACTCCCAGGCCAAGGCAGGTTTGGGGGTGGGAGGGAGACCCAGGCATGTGCTGAGCACCTAGTGTATGTAGTTGGTCTCCTTAGCTTTGCCCTCCAACAGGGCACAGACCTGATGGGGGAGGGGAAGTAGGGCTGGGCCAGGTATTGAGGGCCTGCAGGGTATGGAATGTGAGCTGCCAGGGGAGGGAACGGTCGCTCTGACCTGGTGTGTCCAGGCAGATGGTGACCCGAGAGGTGATGAGGAGTGTGTTCCAGGGGCTGTAAGGTCTCTGAGAAGACAGGCCCCGGGAGCCAGAAGGGCTCCCTGGAAGAGAGGCTGGAGCCCAGCAAGCCCAGCTGAGAGCCCTGCTTCATGCCAAGCCCTGGCCGAGGCACCGGCACCGGCAGGTCCTGCCTGGGCCCGAAGGGTGAAGGGCCAATTACACAGGGAACTCCGCTGGGTTCCCCAGGCAGGGGTGGGGGGCTTCCAGGCTTGGCCAGGTAGTGACCAACGGGGTGGCACAGGCCTGGGAAGGGAGACTGAGGCAGGTTGGTGGAGAGGTCATGGAGGGCAGAGGTGGAGACCTGGGGCCACCGGAAGCAGATTGGCAGAGGTGGGGAGGCAGATGTGGTCAGGGGGCACCTGAGGGGACATCTGGATTAGGCTCCATCCAGGCAGATGGTGTGGACACTAGTGCTGGCCACCAAGGCCTTAGCCTGGGGCCAGAGACACTGCCTGTCCCAGTGGAAGCAAGGCCACACCCTGCTCCCCAGCCTCCCACCCCTTCCACACCTGCTGGCCCCGCCCACTTCCTCCCTGAGCTGTGGCAACAGTCGCCCTGGGCTGCAGGTTCTAAGCTCATGGCACCCCCTACCCGTGGTCAAACCCTGGGCCTGGCCCCTGGCTGCCTGTTCTGTTCTCACTCACAGAAGTGATTGCCGATCCAGCAGCCTGCCACCCCTGTTCCCTAGGGTGGGGAGCCCCTGCACCCTCAGCCCCCTCCTGGGCCCTGAAGAACCAAGCCCTGGGTGGGGGAGGGGGTGGTCCTGCGTCAGGAGGCCTCAGCCCCAGCCCAGCCTCACCAGCTGACCCTACTGGTGGCAGCGTGGACATGGAGTGCCCCTGCGTGAGGGGTTCCGGAAGTCCCCCCTTCTCCCCACCTTGAGTGTGGCGCTGGCCCTTTAAAGCACATCAGGGGCTGGCTTTGAGGGGGAAACATCCCAGAGTTCTGCCATCTGCTTACCAGCCTGGGCTGGGGAGGGGGGCACCCCCGCCCCCGACAGGGGCATTGGAAGGGCAGGTGGAGCCCGTGGCATCGATCGCGGTAACCTGATCCCGCGGGGGAGGCGCGCGGCCGTGGCGGGCAGCAGCGCAGCGGCCGGGGGAGGGAGCCGCCTGCAGCGGAGGGCTGGGCCGGGCAGAGCTGGGGCTCGGGCCTGGGTCGCCACGCGGCCGCCTCCCGCGGCCCATCCATTTTTAATGAGCTCTCCGGGCGTCTGCAGCGGGCAGGACGCAGAGAGGCAGGCCCAGGCGGTGGAGGCCAGAAGTCCCAACCCTGCCCTCCGCCCTGGCCCCACTACCCTCCTGGGCATGAGAGGGTGGTCCTGGGGCCCCGCAGCCCCCCGGCCGGGCAGGGCCCTCCATGCAGCTGGTGCTGAAGATGGAGTCAAGCCCAGACAATGACAGCTGGTTGGAGGACCAGTGGGAACGCTGGTATGGGGTGCGGGCCGCGCGGGGGAGGCGGGGGCTGCTTCTGCGAGCGCTGGTTCTCTGTAGGGGTCTGATTGTGCATTGGCAGGGCGAGTGGGCCTCCCAGGTCCCCCAGGGGTCTGGGCCAGCACCTCTCCTTGGTGACCTTGGACAAACGAACCCTCTTTCTGCGTCTGTCTCCTGTCCTCGCTGTGGGACAGGTCAGATGGTCATCCTTGCTTCATAAGCATCCCCTCACACTGAACCCCACTGAGTGGGAGCACCGTGGTGGCTGGCACAGCCTTGCGCTCTGGGATGGGGGCACAGAGCTGGAACCCGGGGGACAGGGTGGTTCCAGTGGCATCCGTAGGGTTCTGGTGTTGAGGTGCTCTGATTTGTCCCCGGTCCCCGTCTGTGCAGCCTGTCCCTCCGGGTCTAAACATTGGCTAAGGAGGAAAAATTGGGCTCGAAGAGATAAGGCCAGGCTGGGACTCCCCACCTTGCCACACTAGCTTTCCCAGGGCTCAGAAGGTGGGCTTTGGCAGCAGCAGGGTAGGGGGGGCGGGGGGGGGGGAGAGCTGGTAGGGTTGGTCCCTCTGAAGCCCAAGGGACCCTCGGCTTAGTCCTGCAGGGGCTGTACAGGAAACCCCTCACTCCCAGCATGGTGTGACATCTCCACACAGTTCTCTGCTCTCTATGGTAAACTGGCCTTAGCACCTGCCTTGACCTGGGAGGCATTTTGCTGGCAGAGCTGAGGCTGTGACCAGCTGGGCCTTCCAGGCACTGCCTCCCAGCTGGCACAGAAATGAGCAACTCCCAGCCAGGAGGTGCAGGAGCTGCCTGGGGCCTCCCCTCCCACTGCCTGGTGGTGCGATCCAGAAACTTCCCTGCTTGTGAGCCACTGCCCACCTTAGCACTGGTGGACCCCAAGGCCTGTCCTTTGGGCCGGTGATCTCTGGAGGGGATGTCAGTGGACTCAGCGATCCCTCTCAGGTGTCACTCTGGCCTCCTGTCCCCCTGCAGGCTCACCCATGACATCAGCCTGGAGGAGTTTGAGGACGAAGACCTCTCAGAGATCACCGATGAGTGTGGCATCAGCCTTCAGTGCAAAGATGCCCTGTCCTTACGGGTAAGGACAAGCTCCCAGGAGCCTCCGAGTCAGGGTGCAGGATGGGTGGGAACGGGGTCTGCACAGCATCGACTCTCATGAAGACAGCATGCAGGAAGCCCTGACTGGTTAGCCAGATGGAGGCAGGGGCTGGTCTGAAGGCCCAGGACAGTAAAGACTCAGGTTGGGGTTAGGGGAAGCTCAGAGCCCTCACGCCTTTGGGGAGTGGTCCTGGCACAGGGTCTGAGGCTGCGTGGGGTGGAGTCCGATGGGCCCTGCAGTGCTTTGGGGGAGAGCGAGGTGGCCCTGGAACAGCTGCAGCTGCTGGCCATGGCGCACCAGCCCACGCCACACCACGGCCACTCAGCCCCAGTGTCTCCCAACATGAAGCTCACCAGGCACCCCTGGGGTTTGTCTTTGGCTGAGAGTCTTCTTCTACAGCTGGGAACACTGGATGAAATGGGGACCCCCCACTCTGTCTTTCCAGAGCAGGAAGAAGGGAGGGGCCAGGAAGTGGAAGGCTAGGCGAAGCTCAGCGTTAGGTTTTTGCCCTAGGCGGGTGGTAGGCTCCTCTGGAGTGTGGGCAGCAAAATCGGAGGGTTGTCGTGGTGCTGAAGCTCTTGGCGTTGAACCGAGAGCCACTCCTGGGAGCAGGATGGAGCAGTCTGCCTCCTAGGATCCATGAGCGATCCCAGCAAGAGCGCTGGTTTAGCCAAGGGCAGAGTTGTAAGGAAGCTGGTTTCCTGCAAGGTGCTCATGGCCTGCCAGGACAGGGGACACGGAGGGTGCCTAGCCCTCCAGGCCCCCTTACTCTAGCCCTCCATTTGTGCCAGAGCAGGCTGGATAGAGGCAGGACCCACTTACTGTGGACTCTCAGGTCATTCACCTGCTCTGAACTACCCCCACCCCCTAACCTGCACAAGCGATGCCATGGGGAGGGCCTCCACCTCCACCAGCAGGGCTCTGGGGCAGCACGCCCCAGAGGTGCGATCCTACGCGTGGCCCTTAGCCGTGCCACACCTGTGAAGCTGGCTGGCGGCTGCGTTGTTCCCAATCAACTGGTGAGGCAGTGGAAGATTGGGGGCGGGGGGGGGGCGCTGTCCTTAGTAACGGGGCTATAATTATGAAGGTGGGGGGCTCCAGGTGCCCTCACTCCCGTCCCCCCTCCCCCCCTGCCCCCGCTCAGCATCTCTTCCAGTGACTCTCAGGCCCTCCCTGTCCGCAGTGCGGCCTTCTCGCAAGTCCTCGCCCCGCCGAGACCCTGTCCCCAGTTTTCCTCACGGCCCCCTTCGAATACTAATCCCCCAGCCCCAGCGGGACTCGCACTCCTTAGCGACCCCCGGGTCCCTATGGCAACAGCGGTGACCTCACTCTGGGCTCGGCTTACCAACCCGGTGAGGTCACCAGCCGTTGCCGGGGAACGGGAGAGCGTAAGGAATCTGGAGGGGGGGGGCCTGGGGTGAGGAGCGGTGTGGGCGGCCAAAGGCGTGCACTGAGGTGGGTGGCAGAGGGGGAGGCGCCCGGCGCGGCCTCGCGCAGAGGCTGTGGGCCGCGGTCGCCTCGCCCCGGGCCTCTGCTGCGCTCCCTGCTCCCTCTTCGCGACCGCGGAATGGACTCGTCCGGGCGGCGGGCGGGGCAGGGCGCAGGGCTGGCCCCGCCCAGGCCCCGCCCCCTGACACCCCTTCTTCCGCGCGGCGCAGGCCCCACGCGCCGGGCTGCTCTCTGGGGGCGGCGGCAGCGCCGGGAGCCGGCTGCAGGCCGAGATGTTGCAGATGGACCTGATCGACGCGGCGGGGGACACTCCCGGCGCCGAGGAGGAGGACGACGACGAGGACGAGGAGCGCGCGGCCCGGCGGTCGGGTGTTGGGCCGCCGGAGGCTGAGCCCGTCCAGGAGCCAGCGCCCCGCGGGCAGGGTCCAGGTCCGGGCAGCGGGGACACGTACCGACCCAAGAGGCCCACCACGCTCAACCTCTTCCCGCAGGTGCCGCGGTCTCAGGTGAGGCGCGGCGGAGGGGGCGGTACCCGGAGCCCCGGCCGAGGTGGTGTAGAGGTGCTGAACACCTCTGGGAGCCCTGACCCGCCCTGGCATGGGGACCGGGAGGGTCCCCAAGCCTGGGCAGCGGCATGAAGGGCGGCTCCGGGGGCTGGCTCCTGGGCAGGTGGGCACAGCTGGCTGGAAGGGTTACGGGGCTGACGCGCACAGTGGAAGGGCTGGGTGGGAGAGAAGTGGAGGATTTCAGATAGCGGGTGGGTTTGGAGCGGGGTACATGAGGCTGTAAGGGGTTCCCCTGTAGGGTGGGTGGACCTGAGGAAGCGGGGCAGAAACTGGACTGCAGAGCAAGGAAGCTGTCGGGAAGGTCACGGGACGCTGGGGAGAGTTGGGGAGCTCCCAGAAGGCCGGAGTCGGGGTGGGGCTGCTTGGTTGTACTGGCGGCTGAGGGGCCCTGGCGCCTGGCTGGATGCCAAGGGGGCGCAGCAGCGGGTGGGAGCACCGCTGGGGCCCTTTGTCTGCCGGGCCCAGACGGAGGTAGAGGGGCCCCCTGGGAGGCGGGGCTGATGGTGGATGGTGCAGGGACTGGGGCTGGTCTCTCTCCCAGCATCCTCTCGGATGGGTTTTGGCAGGCTCATGAATGTGAGGGCTTGTGGGAGCTGGTGAGGGTGTTGCTGGGGGAGTCATTGGAGGGAGCCTTGTGGGAGGCCCAGGGGGCTGAGGTGGTGGGACCTGGAGCCCAGGAGATCCTGGAGCAAGAGGGCTGGCCACCCTGCCCTTCACTACTCAGCCTGGGGACCATGCTGTGGTCTTGTCATCAGTGATTCTTCCTATTCAGCTGCTGGGAAGACCCTCCTTCCATGGGCTTCTGTCCGTCTCAGCCAGGATGTCCCTGCTCCAGGCCCTGGGTGTCTGGGCAGGGGTCCCCCTGTCTCTGACAGGGGCTAGAATTGTAGCCCTCAACATCTGGACCAAGGGCTGGCTGGATCCCTAGAGAACCCTACACCTCCCGGTGCCCCCCTCCTCACACCACCACCCCAGCCCTGGGCTGACCACCTTCCCTGGATCAGGAGGGTGGGCCATCTGGCGCCTGCAGCCCTGCTGCCCTTCTTGCTTGCACCACAGGCGGGTGAACGAGGGTGACCTGTGGCGAGTGAGGGGGTCACACGATGCCCAGGGCTGGCCCCGGGGGCAGGGCCAGGGCCTCCCTGTGCCCGGCACTGCTGACCACTTGTGCCACAAGGGCCCTTTGTCCTCGGCACAGGACACGCTGAATAACAATTCTCTGGGCAAGAAGCACAGTTGGCAGGACCGCGTGTCACGGTCATCGTCCCCTCTGAAGACAGGTAAGTCAGGCTCCTGTGTCTCACCTGTCCCTCCACCCTAGTGCTGCCTGTCCCGCTGCAGGGTGGGGTGGCCTAGAGCCAGGTGGTGGGGGAGGAGACTGAGATCATCGGGGTCTGAGTGGGTGGGCTGGCCCAGAACCTGCCAGGAGCCTTTCGCCAGGGGCAGCTTGGTTTCCAGTCTGGACTGGAGGTTCTGGGAGGGGAGGGAGCTGAGGCCCGGGAGTCAGGGTGCGGCCTGGACAGCCCTGACCTGTCCACTCTCCAGGGGAGCAGACACCACCCCACGAGCACATCTGCCTGAGTGATGAGCTGCCCCCCCAGAGCAGCCCCGCCCCGACCAAGGACC